TGTTCCAAATTTCAGCCCAAAAATAAAGACCTAACAAAGAACAAGTATGCGCTGTGGGCTTTGTGGCTTTTTCTGCAACAAATTATGTAGAAGTTAATTTCAGGTCTTTTGTCAGACCCCACGTCAAAATAAATAAATTAATTAATTAAATTAAAAAAAAAAAGAAAATAAAGAGAAATGTAAGCATTCCAACAAAAGTATGTCACTAGAACATCCCAAACATGGGGTTACGGGAGATTTGTCCGTCATTAATTTCAAAATTTTGAAATTAGTTAAGGTACGAATAAGTTAAGTCCTGATTATAGAAAAAAAAAAAATTCACCAATAAAATGAAATTTAAATTTATATGTTAAAAAGATTGACAAACGGATAAAAAAGTGATGAAAATAAAATTTAATTTTGTACCTCAAGTATCCATCAATTTAAGTGTGTAAAAAAATATATTTGAAAAGAATAAAATAGTTGTAATTACAAGCGTATAGTTATTCATGTTTGCCTCTCTCTAATAGCTCACTATTAGTAATAGGTGTCATTTTGGGAACATAGTAAAAAGTCACGTTTTTTAACAAAATATCTAAAAACGTGACAGCTAAAAATGCAACAAAATCCTTTTGGAAAATGCCAAAAACGCAGTCCTAAAATTACAAATTAGGGCCTATGAAAAAAAATAAAAAAATAAATCTCTTATGTTGGGTAAGGGTATTTTGGTCATTTTAATTTGATTTGACACCATAAATAAATATTAAACTAAAAAATAAAAAGTTGGTTTTTTACCAACTTCTCAAATCACTTTCAAAAAAGCCAAAAAACTTGGTAAAAAGTTAAAAGTCAATTTTTTACCAACTTCCCAAAGCAGCCCTAGGAGCATAATCATACGACACAATTAAGGATAGAAATGAGTGGAGTTGAAATGAGTTTTGAAATGTTGGAATTAAATTAGCTGGAAATTAGTTATTTTAATTTTTAGTTGAAATGAATTTTGAAATGTTTGGGTTAAATTAGCTGGAAATTAGTTATCTTTAATCTCCAGTTGAAATGAGTTTTGAAATGTTTGAGTTAAATTAGGTGGAAATTAGTTATCTTACCTCTAGTTGAGTTCAAGCTAAGTTTAAAGAATCAACTTGAACGTAACTCATTAAGGGGTTGTTTGGGGTGTCTTAAATAAGTGTATTTTTTTATCTTTTTGAATTAAAAAATTGAGGAAGAAAATATAGATGTTTGTGTTAACTTTTTGACTTTTATGAAAAAATGTGTAATAAAAAATTGTAAAAATTAGTTTGTAGGAGAAAATTAGGATTGGGAGTTGTGCAGCCGTAATTGTTGACTTTTAGTAAATAGTGTTAACTTTTTAACTTTTTGAGTAACTTTTTGACTTTTTAGCTTTTCCTGGACATGCCAAACTTGGCCTTAAGTCTTTATTTGAGGTGTGGGTTGACTTTTTAGCTATTTTAGTTTAGGGCTAAAAAGTCTCATTTGGAATGAATTTTTTAACTTTTTTAATTTTTGTGAGAGAAAAAATGAAAGGATTATATTTAGATGTGATATTTTATTTTATTTATTTTTTAGTCTATTTTACTTTTTATGGCTAAAATAGCCTCAAACCAACATCCCAAACATAGCCTATGGTTTCATTTGAGAAGTTAGGTGGATTTTTTTAGTTAAAAAATCAAAAGGTCACTATAAGTTGTTACATCACTCTCTCTATTTTTCTACACATCTTTTTGTAAAAAGTCAAAAAGAGTCTCGGGGGAACATGCTAATCTAGTAATTTTTTGGCAATTTGGCTAAAATATGAGCTAAAAAAAATAGTATGTTTGGGATGATTTTTTGGCTTTTTACGAAAAAATATGCAAAACGTAGAGAGAAAAGGGAATCTTTGACTTTTTGATATAAATTATTAACTTTTTAATTTTTTTAGTAACTTTTTGGCATGTTTGATTGGAAGGATTAGAGTATGGGATTGAGATTATTAATCCGCGGGCCCAATTATCCTATGTTTGTTTTGACATTTTGTTTTAGGATTATCAATCTAATGGATAATTAATCCAACAAATTTGTAGGATTATTAGTAATGGGGTAGGGGTGGGATTGTGAATACCACACTAATTTGATTGGATTATTAATACCTTACTATTAGTATTGTGAAATCAAACATGGCCTTTTGACTTTTAGGCTAAAAGAGACAGTTTCCAAACGAGGCCTAAAATAACATGTTTTCAAACGAGGCAGCGACTAAAAAGTTCGTTTGAGTTAGTTTTTTTTACTTTTGTGAGAGAAAAAAGTGAAATAAATATAGTTTGGATGTGTCATTTTGTCTTATTAATTTTTTAAATAAGTGCATTTTTTGTCTTTTTATGAAAAGATGTGCAGAAAAGTGGAGAGATGATGTGATAGAAAAAAGATAAAAAGATAGATTATTTGAGGTATGCCAAACTTGGCCTTATTTTATCTTTTTGTCACTAATTTAGCCAAAAAATCAAATTAATCAAATAAGCTATTTTAGGCCTATTTTGAAAAGATAGTTAAACGTTGACTTTTTGATTTTTTTTATAAATATTTTTTTGAAAAAACTCGTAAAAAAATGTGAGAGATGAGGTGACCCAAAATAAATTAAAAGTTGAATTTTTTGAAAAGGTGTGTTATAAAATAAAAAGAGTGATGTGAAAACTTATAATGATTTTTTAATTTTTTAACTAAAATATGTAATTGCCAAACGAAATTTAATCAAAAAATTTGAACTCGAGATCGAGTTTGAAAAGAAAAGAGAAGAAAAAATTAAAAAATATCATATTATTAATAAATTTCATGAAAATTTGCATAATGGACAAATCAAATAAAATATATTGATACTAGTGAAAACCGTGAACGGATGCGAAAAAATTAATAAAATATTTTTATATAAAATAATATAAATAGTTAGATTTTTGTATAAAAATTACGAAAACAAAAAAATATTGAAATTTATAATTTAATTTTCACAATTTTATCATAATTTATGAATTAATTTTTAATTTGTCACAATTTCAATCATATAACTTTCAACTCTTTTGCTAGAATTGCAAACTTGGGTGAGTTCAACCCAAGCAACTCGAATTAAGTCTGAAATTTTTTTAAAATTAGGCAACATGATCTTTAATTTAGTGAGGACCTATGTTTCAAAAATTCAAAAAAATTTGAGCAGACTTAGATAGAGACACCAAATAATTTGAGCAATCAAAACAAAATTATATATAAATATATAACATTAGTTGCTAATTTATTTTTTTAATAATAAATAAGATTAATTAAAATTTAATATTAATGAACAAAAGCAAAAGCAATATGCTTAAGTTTTTTCAATATAATTTTTTTGTTACGTGTAAAAAATACACTTTTTAAAAAAGGATCATTGAATAAAGTGACATTAAAAAAAATTAAATTTTATAATGGCATAAAATAATTTAAATATGATTTTTCAAAAATTATTTTAATTTTAAAATTACAATAAATATTTAAATATAATAAAATTAAATTTCTTACAAAATAAAAGTATTTGAATTATCACCTATAATCCTATTTTTTTTTAATAAAAAAATATTTCCCGTACCATTACTTTTCATAGAAAAATAACATTTATTTCCATTTATTTTAGCAAAAATCACTTGCCAATTTTTTTTCCATTTTTTATTTTAGTTTGTTTAATTGATAATTGAGATTAAAAAAAGAAAAAATTAAGATCCACCATATTTCGCAGGTGCTAAAAAAGTTTAGATGAACAATAAGGAAAATCTTTAAGAATCACAAAAAACACCAACAATTGTACCCACAATAATGTGGTATCGTTTGTATCAACTCTTCATTTGTTATACATTCAATGACATGGGACCCAATTCCCTTGTCACGTCATTGTGAGTGAAAATGTGGATATGCAACATTACTAGAATAACAAATTATCATGTGTAACTCCCATTTTTTTTTATTATATAAAAAAAAAGTTTCATCAACCATGATTATTAATAGAAAAATAATGTTTATTTTTATTTGATTTTAGCAAAAGTCACTTCTTAACTATTTAAGTCAAAAAAATAATAATTGTTTTATTTTAATTTGTTTAATTGAGATATAAAAAAAATTTAACAGAATACATCATATTTGGCAAGTGTTAAAAAAGTCTTTCATTTTTTTAATAATTTTGTCTTTTGTTAAAAAAATATTTGTATTAAAAACTTTATTGTTCAAGTCCTTGTAATGTTTTTTGATCAAAATCCTTGTAGCTTTTTTTTTTTGGTTTTTTTGTTATGTAAGATATTCTGGACCAGTTTGCGCGTACTACACTAAGTCTCTACAGCTCGAACAAACCTTCTGAAACAAGACTTATGCCCTGCGGTCTGTGGCCCCAAGATATGCATTTACTGGCTAGGGGATTCGAACCTGAGACCTGAGAGGGAACATACCTCCAGACCCTAATCGTCACCCACTAGATTAACCACCATGTGGTTCAAGTCCTTGTAGTTTAGAATCATATAATTTTTTTTTTATAAAATTTAAAATAAAAAATGGCAAAAAATAAAATATAAACTTTTAATAGTGATTAATAATTTGAATACGTGTCTTTAATAACATATTATGTTTAGACCAATAATATTATGACACATTATTGTGACACATGAATATTAATCTCATTCTAATTCTAATAACATAATTTAAAGAAGAATTTAAATTTAAATTTAAATTCTATAATTTAATAAAGGATGCATAAATTAAGGAATTAATATTGATCTTATTCCAATTATGATAACATATAATTTAAGAAATAATCTAAATTTAAAATTTTATTTTAAGAATATAAATTAATTTATAAGTCAATTATATTGTAACACATATTAACAAAAATTAAGCAAAATAAAAAAAAGAATTATAACTTTTGATCTTAATAAGATCATAACGTTTTGTAATTATAATAATATATAGATATCATTAAAAATAAATTTTAATTTACTATATAAATCTTGTTCATGAGTATATGAAGTAAAGTTGGAACTCACCAGAATCCTGTCCATCTCTCTGCTGTCCTTCTGCAAAATCTCCAATTCTCTTCTCACTGAATGAATGTGCCCTTCAACAGGTCCAAATCACCCACATTGCCCTCACTCCAATTCTCTTCTCTCCTGATAATAATTAAAAAAAAAAAAAAAATAGTCTTTCCATTCCAATTTCAACAAAACCCAATAACCTGGCCTCATCATTGGTTTTGGGGTTAGGGTTTGGGGGGAAATAGGTGGTTTGAAAGATCTGGGTTTCTAATAGTTTGGGTCCTTGGATTATTACATTTGTGTTTTAATGGTAGTGTTGCATAGTCACATGTTGTGTAATATTAGAATGATTGATTGTATTATCGAAATTTTTTTTCTCAATTTTCTAGCTTTTCAGAGGATTGATGTTTACTTGTGTCTATGCTTATTTTGTTCTAGTTCTTGTCTAGGAAAAAGATACTTGACAAGTTAGAGATAGTGCTATCTCCTCTTTTTAATTTTCATTGTACATGTGCATATCCATTGCAGAGAAAAAGGGTTATCTATGCAGTCTTCAGCTGATGCAGAGGAGACCTTTTCTCTAGCTTTTAAAATTGCATCTGGGTAGTGATTCTCACCTTAATTTTTTTTTTGTTCAACTCAGGTTACTACTGTATATACTTGAATCGGTTGTAATGTATTTTGTCCATGTTTTAGAGTAAAGATCTATTGAAGGTGGGAGAGCATGTCACTCTTATCCAAAGCAGGGCACAATCTACTCACCACATCCAGGTTTATAAGGTCAAATAGAAGTTTTTTGTTTTTTGTTTTTTTGAATCGTTAATGATCATGTGATTTGTAGTTGAAATTATAGGAAGTAGTCATGAGTTGAAGAAATTGTGCTTGGTATTTATTGAAAATTGATAGGAGAATAGTCATCCTCTTAAATTTTGCAACCCATTATGTGCCTTTTGACATGTGAAGTGTTTTTGTCATAGTTATCATCTTTGCCATCAATTTTGATGCCACCATTGCCCAAGCATTGTCTTAAATAGCAAATCATGTTGTCAAGATTTATGCCAATGAGGGAAATGTCTTTTATTCTCATCATGTACAACTATTCTTTTGATATATCCTTTGTCTTGACAAACATAATTTTTTTCCTTACTAGTACTGTTTGGATATCCCTCCTTCCTTGGGCTTGGCATGTGCCATAAACTCATAAGCAATGGTGTGTTCTTTACACACCTTCACATTTTCCATGTGTGTGTTAGGGACAAATTTGTTCGGTGTTATTCATGGAAGTTAGGTGTCTAAGAAAGGCGTTCTGGACAACTTGCACAGGTCATCCACGCTAGTCAGGTGTCTAGGCATCAAATTTAGTCTCCAATGACACGCTTCCGGGGGCATCCAAATCTCCTCTCTCCTACACTTATTTCTATTACTTGCTATCTCCAACCTAGGCTGCGAGACGGGCCTAGACAGCATGATTGATTGGCACTACACCAAATGACTTGGGTGCACACTGCAGGACTCTGGGGTCCCTGGACTCGAACCACGCCATGTATTCAAATTAAGATATTTAAGAGGAAGTGTTATTTCATTGTATTTTGTTTAAACTTCAGTAAAAGTGGTTACATGGTAGAGGAACAAACTTGTAACTATAGACATAACATCTCTGGTGCATCCCTATGATTAATGAACTCTAAAGAACTTCATTGAAGTCAAATTTAGATTCCAATTGATTGAACAAACACAAATACTAAAATTTCAATAATTGTAGGCCGTGTTGATCTCTGAGATGAATTATTGAATATCGACAAAGCACATGGTGGCATCCTTGTGGAATATAACTCCTTAGCTGATAGGGTATTCATAGAGGAAGAGAAATGTTACAGACACATTCTAATGAAGTTTTAGTGAAATTCTTGCAAATGTGATTCACTTGATTGTTGTGATGAAACTGTTGCCTCGGGCTCGGTGATAATTTGAGAGCTATTGTACAGCGAACGTCAGAGTTTGAATTTTATGAACCATCAAAATACAAAAAGAAAAAGAAAAATGGGGGGAGGGATTCCTTTATTAGTGTCCAAGAGTACAGCTTTCACATACAATGATGTGCTCGCAACTGAACCAACAAATGAAATGAGGTGGGAAGACCTGAAAAACCCCCTAATCAAATTTAACCCACCTCTTTGCATCACATGTGAACAGACCAAATTCAGTGAGTGGTGTTGTAAAATTGGAGGAAAAGAGGGGCGTAAGCGAGTTGATTGAAAAGAGTTCCTCTTACCCTCACACAAATGCCTACTGTCCTTGAATTCAGTCTGTACAAAGCTGTCTCTGACAATCTCTTCTACCCGTTTATTTATATTTTTCGGCACCATTTCCCTTAGAATAACCCTCCTTTCATCTTAGACATCGGAAGGGTTGTCTTTCCCTGAAATTTCTACACATTTACCTTTGAGTTTGATTTTTTTGTACCACTTGGCGCATGCGATGTAAACAACCAAATCTATGGTTGTCAAACCTGCGAGGAGGAAGAAAAACCGATCTAGATGGCCTTTGTTCAGATTTCCTGGGATCCATCCTGGCATATTGTCTGTGGTCGATATTTTCATCACCACGGTCACAAGCAAGCTACTGACATAGTTTCCTAGTGAAATGGATGTCATGCATAGCGCACTCCCAAAGCTCTTCAACCCATCTGGTGCTTGTGCATTGAAGAATTCCAATTGGCCAACGTACATGAAAACTTCCGAGGCTCCTATGAAAGCATACTGAGGAACTTGCCAGAAGATGCTCAATGAGCTCGAGCCTTGGCAATGAGTGCAATCTTTTTGGGCATACTTAAGTCTGTAACACTCCACAATTCCAGCTGAGACCATAGCCATTACGGCTATGACAAGTCCAATCCCCATCCTCTGAAGTTCAGTAAGCCCTTTAGAACCTTTCTTCCTTATTCTGCTCACAACCGGATCAAGTACTCGCCGGTATAAGAAAATGAAGAGCGCTACGCTTAGAATGTCAAAGCTAGACATGCTGGCAGGAGGGATTCTGAAGTTTGAAATTGTACATTTCATAGCCGCACCTTGCTCAACAAAGAGTGAAGCCATTTGGGTAAAGACAACCGAGTATATTATGGTGCACAGCCAAATTGGCAGTAATCTCAAGATGCATTTTACCTCTTCAACTTGCGAAATGGGGCAGAGGCGCCATGTGTCGTGCAGACCCTGCTTCTGATTGTCTAAATCCCTTGATGTAATGTATGCTGCTTTATCCAGGAACCTGCGACATTCACATGAAAATTATCGATCAGTTTACATTTTCATTAGATAATTACAGATTGAGCATATAAACACTCGGTTTGTAATCAAGCCAAACTCATGAACATTATGTAGGAATGGCCAATGCTTTTTGCTTACTTGAATCCATCGGTGTGAAGCATCTTTCTAAAATTCATGGAGCTCCCCTTTTCATTCACTACATAAAAGTTCTCTTCTTCACCTGTTGACATCTCAACCCTCCATTTCTTCGCTGCAGCGACTATCACTTGGCAGAACCTGGAAAGAGGATTGCCACTCGGCTTGAAATGCCTGTACCTCGAGGTCCCACTGAGGAACAAGACTAGTCCTGCACAGGCAGATGCAGCCGACACCCAAAACCCGAGAGCCCACATTCCTCCGTCCTCGAAATATCCTAGTATGGTGTTTGAGAAGAGTGAACCAAGGTTCAGAGCAAGGTAGAAGTAGCTGAAAAAGGCCACCTTTGAGAGTCCCTCCTTAGGATCTTCTTCGTCGAACTGATCCGCCCCAAATGTAGCAATGTTAGGTTGGTACCCTCCATTTCCAAGAGCAATCATGTAGATAGAGAGATAGAATAACCCAATCTCCCAGCTTGAATGCGTTTCACATTTAGTCGTTCGATCTCCACAATGTCTAGGATTGAGCAAGAAAAACTGTGAAGCTAGTGACAGTGAAATCAAACCCTGTAATCAAGCGAATATGGATACAGTTAGAATGCATGATGAATAGGTCAATGTTCTATTTGTTGCTTTAAGCTGCAATTGATTTGCACAACATTGGATCCCTTCTCCTAAGCTTCATTGAGTTGTCTAGAATAATGGACAGGAAAATGTTGCCTAAGAAAAATTAATTAAAGGAAAGAAAAGGAAAATAAAACATAAATGATTTAAGCATGAAACCAACTTTTCCAGCGATGCATAATCCTATACTTTTTTTACCAGAAAAGATTTGAGGGAAAGGATTTCCTTCAAGAAAACAGTTATGATAGGGTTCATATAATTGAACATATGTACAGGAAAACATTTTTTATTGTCCTTTCTTTTTCTATTAATTGAATGCATCATTATTGTAAATTGCAGGTGCAGATGATCTGGACATAAACTTGGGAAAATCATCAGGATTCTTATGGATGTTCGAAGGGAAAGATCATCTTCATGACTTTTAGCATGTGAAAGTAGCAGAAAAGAGTAGTAGCTGGTGTGAATACTTACCACGACAAAGATGACCTGAAAGATGGCACATGTTTTGTATCTACCCCAGTAGGAATCACTGAGGAAAGCCCCGACCAGGGAGAAGATGTAGACGGTTCCAGTCCATTTGCTGACATTATTAGCTGCGTCGGCATTGTTCTGCTGTAAAACCCTTGTCAGGAACAGTACCAAGTTCACTCCAACACCAAAGAATGCAAGGGTTGCCAAGCCTTGATTCACTGTTTGATTCATAAAACAAATTGAGAAATGCAGAGTTAGATGCTTGATTTGTGAAGGAGTCTTTCAGGACAAGTGTGGCATCCATCATGTTTGTTTTAGATTAAGGATGTGAAAAGATAATCTTTCATTGAAGCTAATATGTGGATTACAGTGAAGAAAAAAAAATATTGAATATGTTTTAATAGTTAACAGAGGGAAAAAAAGACAACATATTCTTCACAAAAGGCAGACTCGGTGCATGAGACTACTTAGTGTGATCTAGAAACAAGATTTATGCATTATAAGACTTTTTTTTAAGACTGTTTTCGTGACTTGAATCCATGCTACTAGAGATGCGAACATCAAACCTTTCGTGATTTGATTGTGTTCTAACAACTATAGAAATATATATATATATATATTTAAAAGGAGCAAATCAGTGTATAAGATTTTGTTAAAGCAGGATTTGAAAAGGACAAGATGTATGTTGCAATTTTATTCCTATTTTTGGGAAGACTATTTTTGTGACTTGAATCTATGCTACCAAAAACGCTAACATCAAACTTTACCTTTGGACACCTATTTGCTTGGAACATTGTGTTTCAAGTGATTTTCACTGTCTTCTTGTAAAGTTCTAGATGTCAATTTAAGGAATGAGCCTTTAAAAAGTCCCATGTGATATGTTTGTAGATTGTGTTTACTTCTTTCATTTTGTTTTGTTTTTGTTCAAAACACAAAAACCTTCTGCATCTGAAATGGCTAGTATGTTATTAGAAACTATTCAAATGAGCATTCAAAGCATTCTTCACCTGCAGTTTGCTTCCAAACACATCCTAAACATTAAAATCTTCTAACAATCAAAGGAAAGACAACGAAAAAATTGCAACGGTCAAAATTGATTTGTGAGGATCAAGACCGTTCATCATTAATTAATCACATCTTCTCTGCATGTACACTGCCTACAATAAAATGCAATGGAGGTAGATGGTTGTCCGAGGTCGTGAGAGGTAGCGGCGGGACGGGGAGGGTTAGTCAGAGATGGTTAGGAGAGGGATGACTGAGAGCTACCTTTAATTTTAAAGCTCTGTATATTTTTGAAAATGACAAAAGTTATCAAATGTGATTATTTTTATAATTTATAAGTTTTTTCAAAAACACTAATAAAAAGGGGAGCAATTTGTCTGTAGTCAAATATGGATTGAAAATGTTGCAGTACCCAGATGATTTGACTTGTTTGTTTAATAAGATGTTACTTAGATCATTTAAAAGAAAAAAAAAATCAAATTAATTCAATTATCATGGTCACATATTTATTATAAAGAACTAAATACTTGTATATTATTATTATTTTTTTGGATAGGATTACGTGTACGTGTACATGTATATATATATATTAAGGAGGTAGATTCTCTCTAGTTCAAAATTTGAATTGAAAAACGTTGTTTGGTTTTGAAAATTTGAACTATTTATTTTGTTGTGTACCTTGTGTATTTCATCAAAATAAAAGAGCAAATCAGTGTATAAGATTTTGTTAAAGCAGGATTTGAAAAGGACAAGATGTATGTTGCAATTTTATTCCTATTTTTGGGAAGACTATTTTTGTGACTTGAATCTATGCTACCAAAAACGCTAACATCAAACTTTACCTTTGGACACCTATTTGCTTGGAACATTGTGTTTCAAGTGATTTTCACTGTCTTCTTGTAAAGTTCTAGATGTCAATTTAAGGAATGAGCCTTTAAAAAGTCCCATGTGATATGTTTGTAGATTGTGTTTACTTCTTTCATTTTGTTTTGTTTTTGTTCAAAACACAAAAACCTTCTGCATCTGAAATGGCTAGTATGTTATTAGAAACTATTCAAATGAGCATTCAAAGCATTCTTCACCTGCAGTTTGCTTCCAAACACATCCTAAACATTAAAATCTTCTAACAATCAAAGGAAAGACAACGAAAAAATTGCAACGGTCAAAATTGATTTGTGAGGATCAAGACCGTTCATCATTAATTAATCACATCTTCTCTGCATGTACACTGCCTACAATAAAATGCAATGGAGGTAGATGGTTGTCCGAGGTCGTGAGAGCTAGCGGCGGGACGGGGAGGGTTAGTCAGAGATGGTTAGGAGAGGGATGACTGAGAGCTACCTTTAATTTTAAAGCCCTGTATATTTTTGAAAATGACAAAAGTTATCAAATGTGATTATTTTTATAATTTATAAGTTTTTTCAAAAACACTAATAAAAAGGGGAGCAATTTGTCTGTAGTCAAATATGGATTGAAAATGTTGAAGTACCCAGATGATTTGACTTGTTTGTTTAATAAGATGTTACGTAGATCATTTAAAAGAAAAAAAACTATCAAATTAATTCAATTATCATGGTCACATATTTATTATAAAGAACTAAACAGTTGTATATTATTATTTTATTTTTGATAGGATTACGTGTACGTGTACATGTATATATATATATATATATATATATATTACGGAGGTAGATTCTAACTAGTTCAAAATTTGAATCGGAGAACGTTGTTTGGTTTTGAAAATTTGAACTATTTATTTTGTTGTGTACCTCGTGTATTTCATCAAAATAAAAAATAAAAAAATTAGGTCAATTCGATAATTATAATTTATTCAATTTGTTGAGTTTGTGACCAAAAAAGTGTATGTACTATTTAAAAAAATATAATTATCATCCATTTTTTTAAGTAAAAAATACAATAAATTGCATAGTTTACAATTAACGAATTGACCTAATTTTTCTTGCGGATGAAATATATGAGGTACCCGACAAAATAAACTACTCGAATCATCAAAACATGTCCCAAATAATGTCCTCCAGTTCATATTTTGAATTGAAAGGGATCCTTCTCCATACATTAAACATTCAAATATAATGAAATTTAAGATATGAAATGCACCTCTTCAATTTATACTCGCAAAAATAAAAAATAGACGTCATAAAACAAGTATCCATTTTGTTGTTGACAGTTAACAAAAATCTAAAAACAATTAGTGTGGCCAAAACAAGAATCGTAAATGAATTGATAAGCATATTAGGAGCATTTATTATAACTTTTTCAATTGTTAGGCCTTATTTGAGATAAATTAAAAAAAAATAAAAATCAAAAAATTATTAAAAAATTTAAAAACTTTATACTATTCAAAGATAGCTTGTAGAAAAAGTCACTAGGGCAAAATTATTATTTTGCCCATTGAATATGATTAGCAAAGTCAAAAAGTCAAAAGGATAAAATGATTATTTTGATTTTATTATAATATTTTATTACATATCTTTTCATAAAAAGTCAAAAAATTATACGAAATATACATATTTTTTCTTTATTTTTTATCTAAAAAAATAAAAAAAAACAGATTCCACACAATTACTAAAATGAACTTAGACCGGAAAAGATAAGAGTTGGTCCAACTCGAAAAGGTCAGTTGAGGAAGACAACACGTGGCATCCACCCACGTTATCCAGGCAAACTATCCACAGATTACGTGTCAGGCACGTCTCCCACAATTGCATGCTTTTCTCGTCCTCACCTCCCCACTTATCTCTCCTCTCTTCTCCATCTACAATTCTGGTTCTAATAAATTTTAAATTTAATTTATTTATTATTTTTAAATTTTTAAATAAATTTTAAACGAATTGATTGTATGAGTTTATTCATCGGAATTTAAACAAAGGCTTTGTTTGTTTGTTTGGAATGTGCTCATTGGGGCTAATTTAGTTATATAAGATAAAATAAGTTATTTTAATTAAATAGGACAAATATTATATCCAACTCATAATTATTTCATTTTTTCTCTCACAAAAAATAAAAAAATTTATCGCAAACGAGACCTTTTAGCCTCGGACTAAAAAAGTCAAAAAGTCAATCCACATCCTAAACGAAAACAAAGTTTAGAAAATTAATAAGCTAATATCATGAACGAAATTTTAATTATTTGAAAGTAAGTAAATTTGTGTAAATTGATGCTTTTTACAAACTTAAATGTGTCAAAAATAACTTAATTGGGCCAAACTAAGTATTTTAAAATTTAATTTGAAAACTTAAAGACAAATTGAATTCAAGTAATTTAATTTTTCTTTATAATATATATATATATATATATATAAACTGGTCGAGTCAAGTAATAAATTATTCAAATTTAATTTAATAACTTAACAAATTTTAAAATATATTCAAATTTAATTTTTTACGTAACAAAGACCCGTTTGGTAGAGCTGTGGGAAAGTGATTATAACTTATACCTTAACAGCTTATAGTTTATAACTATAAACATAAGCTGATTTTTTACTTATAAATTAAGTTTCTCCTCCCTCACTCAAAGATAAGTTGATTTTTGACTTACAAAAAACTATAAGTTGTATTGTTAAGCTAAACCAAACACATCAAAATAACTTAAATTAAACTAAAAGCTGAAATAAGCTGGAAATAAATCCTACCAAACATATTGAAACACATCATAAATAAAATTTTAACCAATTAAATATGAGTTAAAATCAAATAATTTGATTTGTTTAACAACATAATAGAAAGGAACCATGAAGAAGAGTAAAAATCACACACACTCTCTCTCTCTCCTCTCTTTCCCCTTAACTTTAACTAAACAAATTATTGTCATTATTATTTCAATGCTTTCAAAAGCCACATGATCACATGTATTTCTTGTATGCAATGCTTTCAAACTAGTTATACTATCAATTTAATTAAAATAACTAATAAAATTATAAAAAATCTTTCTACCAGACTCGTCGAGCATCTCCAATGCACTAGGCATATAATACTTGTTAGTTAAAATGCCTAGTGTGATTCACTTTTTTCAATTCCAATGCACTAGGCATATGATTAGGCATTTTGGCTCAACTCATATTCACTAACTACATGTAGCTAGCCTTCAACACTAGGCAAAATGTATTCAGTCATTAGAATCATTTCCCTCCATCTTTGTTGTTGACGTGACATTCTATAAAATTAATAGCATTTGGATAAATAGCTAAAATAAAGAGCATAGTTAGAGTAAAAACATGAAATAGTTGATAGGCAAAATAAAATATATACTTTATAATAATATTTAGATAAATAAAATGCCTACTACCTTTAGAGATGCTCATACCAGGAGGATCCAACAGATGTACAGTTAATGACTGACAAATTTCAACACGTTCCCCTTCTTCATATTGTCATTTTCCCCCCCACTTCTGGTAGTGGATAATATCACTCCCCCCTCCAACCCCCAACAACAACAACAACAACAAAAAAAAAAAAATACTCTCTTTTCTCCAAAATATTTTTATTTTCTTTTTTCTTAATTTCATTTTCTCTCTCTTCATTTGTTCTTTGGTGGTTTGTACTTTGGAAAAATATCTTGCATTAGACAAACCAAACAAAATTTGGGCTCTTTTTTTTTATCTTAATTTTTTTTTTAAAAAAATTATGATATCAATCGATACATGATTGTAAATTTATACGATATTATTATTTAAAACTAATATATATATATTCCTCCGCGTTAAGGTTAAGTCCAGAGTAAAGAAAGATGCGTCAATAATAACATCATGGAATTAATGGAAGAAAAGTTGTGATCTTCTCAAAACCCAAAAAAAATAAAAAATAAAAAAACAAAACGAAAAAAGAAAAAGAAAAAGAAAAAGAAAGATGAAGAAACATAACTATTCTCACTAGATTCCACTATGATCATGTGTGTAGAATGTACTAAGTAAGATTCCTGGAGAAAAAAAAAGAAAAAGAAGAAGAAGAAGAAGAAGAAGAAGAAGAAGAAGAAGAAGGAGGAGGAGGAAGATTCCCATATGAAATAGACTGGTTAAAGATTCTAATAAAAAAACATGAAAAGAGCTCAAAACTGAAAATGAAGAATGAAAAATGAAAATGAAAATCTAGAGAGCAGGTATGTCAATGTGAATATATATATATATATATATATGCATAGATAAACAGAGTACCCTATCTTCCCAAACAATTAATTTATGAAGATAAGTAGACTAAGATATCGAGACTTTCTTTAAATAAAATTAAATAAAAAGAAATAAAAACAAAATAAAATTGGTAATATAGGACTTACAGAGGATGATAATTCCAGCAACCCATTTGCCAGTTCTTTCTCGTATTGCCGGTTGGCCTTGCAAATCAACACTTCCATCAAGAGTACACTCTTCTGCTTCTCCCTTGAACTTACCCTAAAATCCCAACAACATTTTTTAAAAAAAAATAGAGGAAAAAAAATAAATCATAATTCATGTTAGAGAACAGGATTTTTCAGTTTTTTATTTATCAAAAAAAGAAAGAGAGAAGTTTGTTTCTGTAAATGAATGCATAAGAGTTTTGGTAGATCAGTAACAAATATAATAATGCCATGGCACAAATGAGAGAGAGAGAGAGAGAGAGAAATGGGATGATGACAGAGAACTAACCTCCATGGACATGACCTCTAAGCAAGTCATTGAAGGTGATGATGACAACTGAAAATTGGGAACTTTAAGAGAGAGAGAGAAGAGAAGTTGGTGTTTGGGGGGGTGATGGGAAAAAAATAAAAGCAAGAAGAAGTTGGGACAATAAGGGGGTGAGGAGAGGAGAATATATAGAGGTTGAGACGGTAACACGGACGGTGGAGATTTAACATGTATGAGAGGGGTGGGGCCCAGATGACCAAATCTAACTCTGAGCATCTGCTCTAATAGTAAGGTGCCGTTTGGTAACACTTACGTTTTCTGTTTTCTGTTTATATTTATAAAAATTTAAAAAACTCAAATAAAAATTTGTTTGGTAAAATTTTTGATTTATAAATCAGTGGTCTCAGTTTATAAATTTGGCCAAAAATGGAAAAACACAAAAAATGTTTTTCCTTGTTTGAGTTTTTAGTTTTTTTTTTTTTACCACCCAACACTTAGCCACCACCCCACTCATTCTTCGCTTTCACCACCCCCTGCCCCACCACCACCCACCTCACCAACCCTCCCTACCACCACCCTGCCACCTACCATCTTTTCACCACCTCCATCCTGCTCCATACCCACCTTGCCTTACCACCATCCACCCTCTGCCATCCACCACCATTTCCCACCTGTTATCCACCTGCCCCACCACAATCCCACCACTCCTCCCTACTTACCATCCACCACCCTCGCTACCCACCACCATCATTGCCACTTCTACTTGCCTACTACCACCCATCCTTGCCACCCACCTTTTTTACCAACTCTGCCACCACTACCCACGTTACCACTACCACCCGTCACCGGTCACCCACCCTATCCACCACCAACACCACCCCACCTTGGCCACCACCTTTTACCTACCACTACACCATCTTTGTCTTTAACCCACCCTTGGTCACTTCGCCACCGTCACTCATCCATCCCTACTATACCACCCTTTTACCACGCCGTGCCGCCACCACCTTCCACCCACCACCCGCCTTGTTTATCTCTTGTTTTCTCTTTTTTTTCATTTTTTTTTATTTCTTAATAAATTGCCCAATCTAACATCCAAAGCGGAATAAATAAAAGGGTAGGAAAGCCGTGGGGTTGGAAAGACATACAACATACACACGCACACTTATTACAAGTTGTGGCCCTCCGGCAGAGTGATTCTCGATTAAATATACTAGTCCCAAAATAAAGAATATTACAGTGTCCAAATATTACAGCTCCGAATATGTA